TTTTTGCAGTTTTTGGCCAAGACTGGGTTTGAACTCACCATCTCCAACATATGGGGCCAGCGCCCTACTCCTTTGAGCCACAGGTGCTGTCCCTGTGTTGATTTTTCTATCTAGATCAGGTGTCCTCAAACTATCGCCCGTGGGCCACATGTGGCCTGCCTAGGACATTTATCGGGCCTGCTGGGTGTTTTTACCGCTGCTGGTTGTCCTGCTTAGCAGCTGACTCGTACCAGGGCCTGCAGTCTGGCCCTCCAATGGTCTGAGGGACAGTGAACTGGCCCCCTGTTTAAAAAGTTTGAGGACCTTGGTCTAGATGATCTACCTAATGCTGAGAGGGGGCTGTTGAAGTCCCCAACTATTATTGTATTGGCATCTACCCCTTCTTTAGATCTAATAATATTTGCTCTATATATCTGGGTGCTCCAGGATTTGATGCATATATATTTAAATTGTTTCTTCTTGCTGAATCAATCCCTTTATTTTTACATAATGACCATCTGTGTCTCTTTTTACAGTCTTTGACTAAAAGTCAGTTTTATCTGATGTAGTAATAGCTACTCCTGCTTTCTTCTGCTTTCTGTTTGTATGGAATATCTTTTTCCATCCCTTCACTTTCAGTCTATATGTATCCTAACAGGTGAAGTGAGTTTCTTATTATAGGCAATGTACTGTTGGGTCATTGTTTTACATCCATTCAGACAGTCTATATCTTTTAAGTAGGGAAATATATTCTGTTTACACTCAAGGTTATTAGTGATAGGTAAGAACTTATTCCAGTCATTTTGTTTAGTGTTTTCTGGTTGTTTTGCATATCTTTTTTCCTTTTATCCTCCCTTATTGTTTATCATTGCAGTTTGGTAGTTTTATATAATGGTAAAGTTTGAGTCTTTCCTCTTTTTAATTTGTGTATCTACTCTATCAGTGAATTTTATACTTTTGTGTATTATCATGATAGTAGATATTGTTCTTTCATTTCCAGATGTAGAACTGTCTTAAGAATTCCTTGTACAACCAGTCTAGTGATGATAAAATTCCCTCCATTTTTGCTTGAAGAATAGCTTTGCTGGGTATAGCTTGTCTGATAGTTTTTTTTTTTTCTTTCAGCACTTTGGATATATCATACCATTCTCTCTTGTCCTATAAGATTTCTGATGAGAAATACACTATAATTTTGATAAATATTACCTTATATGTGACTTGACACTTCCCCTACCCCTGTTTTTAGAATTTTCTCTTGATAGTTTGACTATAATGGGCCTTGGAGAAAACTTTTCTGGGCTAAAACTCTTTGGGGATATTTGAGCTGCCTATATCTGAATGTCTATATCTCTTGCAAGACTTGAGAAATTTTCCACCTATTATTTCATTAAACGGGTGTTCTATGCCTTTGCCTATCTCTTTTTCTTGTGAAACTCCAAGAATTTGAATATTTGGTCATTTTATGGTATCCTACATGTTACATAGGTTTTCTTGATTCTCTCTCTCTATCTATATCTGTCTCTATCTCTATCTCCATCTGATTGGGTTGTTTCAAAAGACCTGCCTTCAAGTTCAGAAGTTCTTCTTCTGCTTGATCTAGTCCATTGTTGAAATTCTCAACTGTATTTTTTATTTCATTCACTGAATTCTTTAGTCTCAGGATTTCTGTTTAGTTAATTTTTATGATATCCATGTCTTTGTTGAATTTCTCATTCAGACCATGAATTGTTTTCCTGACTTATTATATTATTCATCATGGTCTCTCTTATCCCCCTGAGATTCTTTAATATCATTATTTCATTATTTTCAGGAATTTCATAAATTTCCTTTTCTTTGGGATCTGTCACCAGAAAATTATTGTATTTTTTTGGAGGTATATTTTCTTGTCTTATCATGTTTCTTGTATCCTTATGCTAATATCTGCTCATCTAGTGTAACAGTCACTTCTTCAAATTTTCTAGATTGACTTTCATAGGGAAAGACATTTTTCTATAGATGAATCTATAATACTGGGTAAAGTGCTTTGGCTTTGATTCTGGATAGGCACAAAAGTACAGTCTCCATATGATTTATTTAGCTGTAATCACCATCAGTAGTCTCTGTGAGTTCCTCAGTGACCTAAAATGCATCTGTTAGTGAAAACAGAATTTACTGCAGATGGGCTAGTCCTCAGGCACCAGTGGACAGAGTGGGCATGTACAGATACTGGCAGCAATGGACAAGAAAAGCTTATTTTCAGGGCCTTCCAATCTTGTACACAGGTGTCAGCTTCAGTGGGCAAAGTGGGTCATTCCCCATACCTCTAGATGGTATGCTTGGGCACAGGAGGTGGTGGCAGTGGGATGAATGTGCTTTTCTTAAGCCCTTGGATGGTGCACACATGCACCAGCAGCTAAGGGCATAACAGATCAATCTCTAGCCCCCCAATGGTGTGCATGAGTGCCAGCAAGGCAAGCTAATCCCCAAGCCCCCAGATGACACATGTGAGCACTGGTGGCAAGTACAGCATGGCTTCTCTCAGGGTCCTCAATAGTATATGAGAGTAAGAGTGGTATTGGGTAGAGGTGGGCTGATCTTCAGGTCCTTTGAAGGTATGTATAGACCCCAGCAGTGACAAGCAAGGTAGGTGGGTCCTCAGGCCCCCAGATGGTACACACAGGAAATGGCACCAGTGGGGGAGGCAAGCATCTCCTTAGGCTCCATAGTAGTATGTGTGGGTACCCATGGTGGTGGGTATGGTGAATTAATCCCCAGGCTCCCAAGACAGTATACATGGGCATCAGTGGCAGCAGGCAGAGTGTACCTCTTGCAGTAGCCCTCTATGACAATGAAATGATACGCTGAGGACAGTGGAAGGATCCAGGAATAATCTGATATTGTGGAGCCATCATAGCCATCCTAGATCACCTACTTTGGGGATCATTTTACATGAGAGAAAGATTAATTCCTAATTTCCTTTAAGCACTTTAATTTTGAGCTTTTCCTTTAAGCAATGCATGCAAATCCTAATTCAGAAGTCATTTCAGACATACCCAGAACTCAAATATCTTTGAAGGAGGTACTTCAGCAAATGATGACAACACAGCTATGGGGCTGGTTGCCAGAGGGGGTGCTAGGGCAGTACCTTTGCCAAAGTGTTGCGGGATGCGGAGATACCCTCCAACATCAGCTTCACTGCCTGGGACAGAGGCTTCTGGGCACCCAGCAGCATGCTAGTCTCCATTCCAAAAGCTGCCTGGGGGAGAGAGAAGGGCAAGGTCATCACTGGGGTGGGAGGGCAGCAGATCCAGGGTAGAGTCTGCACACTGAGCTGGAGACCCCCAGACCTGGGCTAAGGATGTACGTGCATCACGTCATCAGCTCCTCACAACAATCCATGATAATTTAAATTCCATGGGATGCAGTGAGTATTAAGGTAGCTCATAGTACTTAATAAACTTTGGCTTCCTTCCTTGACAAGATGTATTTCCCTGAAATGCAACTTTTTTTAGGTATTCATTCTATACTCAGCTTCACAGTGAATTGTTGCAATAACAATGATAATGATAATTCCACTCATTGTCCCCACCTTTGTATGGGGCTGTCTGACCTGCCTTCACATGGGGTTTGGGGTTATCTGGGCCACTGCTGAGACTGCTGGGGCAAGATCCAAACCATGATCCAGGGGAGGTAGAGAGAGACAAAAAGCAGATTTCGGGGCTGAGAGCCAGGCAGACCTGAGATCAAACCCTGCTTTTGCCTTGGAATAGCTATACCAGGCCCTGCTATCCATTTCTAGAGAATGAGTTAGTAGCCTCGATCTCATGCCAAGTTGCTTTGAATATCCAAGACAGAAAAAAAAAAAAAAAGAAAAAGAAATGAAGCACAGGGAAGGGGTTGCTGATAAGCTAGAGGAGGAAGGAAGCAAGGAAGGAAGAGAAGGGAGGAGAGAAAGAAAGGGAAAGGGAAGGCAAGAGTAAAAGGAGAGAACCCTCTACCCCATGTGGCCCTCCCAGACCTTGCTCCCAGTGATTTCCCATCACCTTAGCCAGGATGTCTATGGTGGTGTAAGTCAGCATGTCCTGCATGGACACCGGGGTTTGCCCATCCGCCTTGGCTTCTAGAATCTCCACCAGCTGTTCGGCCTTCTCATTGAATGTTTCCATCAAGCTAACCAAGGAGCTAGAGAAACAGCACAGGCGTCAATGGCCACCAGGACCAGCCCAGGCCAGTGGAACTGCCATATGCCCTCCATCTCTGCAGGGAGGATATCATGTAGAGTAATGGCAGGAGGCCACTTCCACCTTTTCTGGCCCCAGCTTCAGGCCCAGATTACAGTTAGGTTTGCAGTAACTGAGTGCACCATTCACCTCCACTTGGGATGGAGGCTGTCCTTTTGCCCTTGTCTTAATAGTTCCATGGGTCTGCCACTGTGGCCTCTCAACTCTTACATCAAAGGGACACAGCAGTGTAAAGGCTCTGGGACCTCCTAGAGTCCATGATAAAGCTACCTCAGTTACCCTCCTACCTCTGTGCCCACACTGCCCAGTCTCCTTATCTGCCCTGCCTAGACCATCATCTGAGTACTGTATTATCTCATTTTACTTCCTAGCCTTTAACAATCTCAGTGACCAACTTTATGTGGAAATAAGTCTTCAGATGCCATCTGAAGTCCAGAGCTCCCAGCCCACAGTGCTCCCTGTCCTGAGAAGGCTCATCTCCCAGGCATAGAGCTTAGAAAGATATATGGAAGGATGTACTTTAAACTCACAAAAATGGCAACTCCAAGAAAACTGGAAAGGAAGACACAGCCACTTTGCAGTTTTAATTTCTGAATTTTTACTAAGAGAATACACTGCCTTTATAATGTAAAGACTTTTAAATTTAATTTTAAAATATTAATCTGAGTAGAGGGGTAGTAGAGGAGTATTATTTGTCCTATTCTTATTCTTGAAGTTTATTTGAAAATTTGAAATTATTTCTCAACAAAAAGTCTTTAAAAAGAGAAAAATGGGAGGAGATAAACAAAAAGAGTAAATTTTTAATTAGAAAAGAAAATCAGCTTTTCATTGCCCATCTGGCTATTGCATGGGCCCAGGAAGCCGTGAGCCTGAGGGCAACCACTCTGATCTGATCCCTTGACAACCAAAATGCTTTGAAGTCCGCTGTTACTCTTAGAAGGGAGGTGAAAATCTTCACCTGGGCTTGAGAGATAGTCTGCCCTGTGCTGACTTCCACCTGCAATGATGCCTGCTTATTATAAAGCACCTTAGCTCCTCAAAAGTATGATGTTCTTGCCCACTTCAGGGCTTCTGTGTTCACGTTCCCTATGCCTGGAACTCTCTTCCCTCCACCCTCCACACCCCATGACTGTTACCACCCAAATGCCTCCCCTCTGCAGATAGACGCTCAAATGCTCTTCCTTTTTTTTTTTTTTTTTGAGACAGAGCCTCAAGCTGTCCCCCTGGGTAGAGTGCCATGGCATCACACTCACAGCAACCTCCAACTCCTGGGCTCAAGCGAGTCTCCTGCCTCCGCCTCCCAAGTAGCTGGGACCACAGGCGCCCGCCACAACGCCCGGCTATTTTTTGGTTGCAGCCGTCATTGTTGTTTGGCGGGTCCGGGCTGGGGATTCGAACCCGCCACCTTAGGTGTACGTGGCTGGCGCCTTAGCCGGTTGAGCTATAGGCGCCGAGCCCAAATGCTCTTCCTTAAGACAATGTCTGTTGAACCCCAATTAGGCCCACTATATGGCCTCACAGTACTCTTGACTTATTCTTCATAACTTTTACATGGTTTGCAAGTATATATTTATTTGCAAGATTATTTGTAGTTGTCTTTTTAAAAAAAAATCACAGTCAAATTTACTATTCAAATAGCATGTGGCTGGTTATCATACTAATACTGAACCTCTTATAAAATACAAAATGCAGGGCTGAGTGTTAGGTGTACAGTAAGATCTCAACCCCCTTTGTCTTTTATGCAAAGGATTGGGACTAAGGTCTTCCCATAAGTAAAATCGAGTAAAGTAGAAACTGGCAATTTTTTCTCATAATTTTATTAAAAGTACATGATGCATTAGGGACAGTGGTTCACACCTATAACCCCAAAGTTTTAGGAGGCTGAGGTGGGAGAATTATTTGAGGCCAGGAGTTTGAGACCAGCCTGGCAACATAATGAGATCCCCACTTTTACAAAAAGTAAAAATTAGGCCAGGCATGGTGGCTCACATCTGTTAATCCCAGCATTTTTGGAAGGCCAAGTGGGGGAGGACTTCATGAGGTCAGAAGTTTGAGAAGTAAGACCTTGTCTCTACAAAAAAGTAGAAAAATTAGCCAGGTGTGGAGGCAGACATCTGTAGTCCCACATACTTGGGAGATGATGCAGGAGGATCACTGGAGCCTAGGACTTTGAAGTTGCAGTGAGCTATGATGATGCCACTGCACTCTAGCCTGGACAACAGAGCTATACCCTGTCTCAAAATAAATAAGTAAAGTAAAATAAAAAAAAAATTAGGCTAGTTGCTGTGGTAGATACTTGTAGTCCTAGCTACTTGGGAAGCTGAAGCAGGAGGATAGCTTGAGCCCAGGAGTTCAAGGCTGCAGTGAGCTATGATGATGCTACTGCACTGTAGCCTGGGTAACAGAGAGAAACCCTGTCTCTGAAAGAAACAAACAATGCATAGTGATATGATGTCTGAATGATGATTAGAAATGAAACTCACCTGTGGTTCCTTTATTTTCTTCCTTAGTGAGTTAGGATTCACAAGGCTCACAAATACTTTCATAAATACTTATATGCATATTCCAAAGCTTCTTTCATACAACCATATAAATTTGGCATTTACAATAAAATAGCCATCTCTAAGATGATGTGAGATTAAAAACTAAAAATGTCTGGTGATAGTTGTGTAATAATGTAAGTGAACTAAATTCTGCTGAGCTGCACACCTAGAAATGGTTAATTTACCTTGGTAAACTTTGTTATGTGTTTCTTACAATTAAAATTTTTTTTTAAATAAAAATGTCTGTGAAAGCACTTAACAAATTGTGAAGTGCTGTTCAAACACAAGGTCCTGTGTGCTAAAGAGTGTTCACTGAGACCTCTATACGCTTATGTCATAATCACGTGGGTCATCATCTGGTTAGACTCTGAGGGCAGACAGCATGTCAGCAGGGCTGTCCTTCATAACCCTGACTCTTGGTACAATAAGTATTTATTAAATAAATGCCTTTTTTCTGGGTTATTCCTTCCCATTCTTACTTCTAGCAGCTCTCCAGCAACACCAAGAGTATTCTAGTTCATTCATGCACTCTGTGGACACTTCCAGAGGGCTCTGGGGTACCTGGCTCTGGGCATAGGAGTCAAGGACAGGGTGTGCCTTCTGCCTTTAGGGCCGTGGGGTTTAGTGAGGGAGCTGCAAGCACCACACTGGGTGAGAGAGGGGCTGTGATGCAGACAGGAATTTAGCTTCAGAAGGCAACATTTTAGCTAGGTATCAGAGGAGGGACAGGAATTCCCCAGGGCAGGGGGCACATTGAGGCAGCAGGAACAGCAGGTACAAAGGCAAAGTTGCCAGAAGGAGCAGAGTGGTTTCTGGACAGGTAGGGATGAGGAGATGCAAAGCCGGAGAGGTTTCAGGGCAGATCAGGATAAGTAGGGTCTGAGCTTCATTTCTCCGATGATAGGGAGCCATTGAAGGCTGCAGAACAGGAGTGGCATGGTTAGATTTAAGTTTTTAAAAGACCTTTTCAGGGTGATGAGGTGAGTAGATTAGAAGAGGGAGGCAGGGGACAGGTAGGCCAATGAGAAGGCTGAGGCAAGAGTTCTGGCGAGGATGTTTATGTAATCCCTCACAGACTGTATATTCAAGAGTAACTTCCTGGCCGAGGAACCTGGAAGACACCACCTTAACCAAGTGAGCAAAGTTAATGGGGCCAGCAATGGAACAAAGAGCACATACCTCCTGATACGACGTCCTGAGGAGGACATAGCCTCCCTCTGTGGCATCACCATCAGGAAAGCACAGCCTTAAACTAATATGTGGAAACAGCAGACAGACTCAAACTGAATGACCTCTACAAAACTGGCCTGTAATCCTCAAAAGTGTAAAGGTCAAGAAAGTCAAGGAAAGACTGAGAACTGTTCTGGAATAAAGAAAGCTTAAGTGACAAGGCAATTAAGTGTAACACGCAAATCTGGATTGGGTCTTGGACAAGGTAAGAAGTAACTATACCTGCACAACTGATAGAATTTTAATATGGACTATGGATTAGATAATAATATTAGATTAATACTAATTGTCCTCATTTCAATAACTAGAACTCCAATTATGTACTCATTGTTCTTAATAACTACATGTAGAAGTATTAAGGTAGGGAGTACAATGTCTCTCACTCTTAAATGGTTTTTCTAAAATATGCACTAAATAAAAATATATGTATACATACACAGAGAATGATAATTTACATATGTGTATGAAGAAGAAATAATAAAGCAAATGGTAATTTATAAAAACAGTAAGTGAATTTGAGTAAAAGACATACATGAGTCTCTTACTTTATCCCAGCAATTTTTCTATAAAGTTGAAATTATGTCAAAGTGAAAGATTACCTTCCCTAAAATGTTAAATGTAGAATTACCATATGACTCAAGATTCCATCAGGTAGATACCCAAGAGAAATGGAGACACATATCCACACAAAAACTTGTACAAAAATATTTATGGTTGCATTACTCATAAAAGCCAAAAAGTGGAAACAACCTGAATATCCATTAACAGGTGAATGCACAAACATATGTGGCATGTCCATACAATGGAAAGTTATTTGGTGATAAAAGGAAGGCAATATTGATATGGTATTTAAAGTATTTTAAACAGTATGAAAAGTATTTAAATGGGTGAACTGCATGGTATGTAAAGTATATCTCAATTAAAGAGTTATTAAAAAGATAAAATATAGGCTCGGTGCCCATAGCACAGTGGTTACAGCATCAGCCACATATACCGAGGCTGGTGGGTTTGAACCCAGCTGGGGCCAATTGCAACAAAAAAATAGCCGAGTGTTGTAGCGGGCACCTGTAGTCCCAGCTACTGGGAGGCTGAGGCAAGAGAATCGCCTAAGCCCAGGAGTTGGAGGTTGTTGTGAGTTATGATGCCATGGCACTCTACCAAGGGTGACATAGTGAGACTCACTCAAAAAAAAAAAAAAAGATAAAATATAGTCATGCATTGCTTAATGATGAGGATACACTCTGAGAAATGTGTCATCAAGTGATGTTATCATTGTGCAAACATCATAGAGTGTACTTACAAAAACCTAGTTGGTACAGCCTACTACACACCTAGGCTACACACCAGCACAGCATGTTACTGCAGTGACTACTGCATAAACTCTAATGCAAGGGTAAATATTTGTGTATCTAAATATATCTAAACATAGAAAATATGCATAGTAAAAATGCATAATATCTGTATATCTAAACATAGTAACAGTATAGTAAAAAAGTAGTATAAAAAATAAAAAATGCTACACCTACATAGGGCACATATCATGAATGAAGCTCAGAGGACTAGCAGTGGCTCTGGATGAGTTAGTGAGTGAATGTGAAGGCCTAGGACTTCACTGTACACCACTGTAGACTTTATAAACACTGTACACTTAGACTATATTTATAGACTACACTATATTTATAAAAAAATTTTTTTTCTTTCTTTCATAATAAACTTGCTTGGTTAACTTTTTTATTCTATAAACTTTTTGACTTTTTGACTCTTTTTTTCTTTTTTTTGGTGATACAGAATCTCACTCAGTCACTCTGGGATTGAGTGCCAAGGCCTCAGAGCTCACAGCAACCTCAAACTCCTGCACTCAAGTGATCCTCTTGTCTCTGTTTCCTGAGTAGCTGGGACTATAGGTGCCCACCACTACACCTGGCTAGTTTTTTCTATTTTTAGTAGCGATGGGGGTCTCACTTTGATCAGGCAGGTCTAGAACTCCTGAGCTCAAGCAATCCACCCACCTTGGCCTCCCAGAGTGCTAAGATTATAGGCGTGAACCACTGCACCTGCCCACAACTCTTTGACTCTTGTAATAACACTTATCTTGAAACACCAACACACTGTACAGTTGTACAAAATATTTTCTTTGTTTCTATACTTACTCAATAAGCTTTGTTCTATTTAAAATTTATTTTATTTTATTTTTCTACTTTAAAAAAATATTGTTTTTTGAGACAAAGTCTCACTTTGTTGCCCTTGGTAGAGTGCTATGGCATCACAGCTCACAGCAACCTCAAATTCTTGGGCTTAAGCAATTCTCTTGCTTCAGCCTCCCAAGTAGCTGGGACTACAAGCGCCGGCGACAATTCCTGGCTATTTTTAGAGACGAGATCTTGCTTTGGCTCAGGCTGGTCTCAAACTCCTGAAATCAGGCAATCCACCTGCCTTGGCCTCCAAGAATGCTAGAATTATAGATGTGAGCCACTGCACCCAACCTTTACTTTTTAAACTTTTTTGTTAAACACTAAGACAAACACACACATTAACTTAGGTCTGAACAGGGTCAGGATCATCAATATCACTGTCTCCACCTCTACCTCTTGTCCCACTGGAAAGTCTTAAGGGACAACTACACATAGAACATGTTATCTATGATAATCGTATCTTCTTCTGGATACCTCCTAAAGGACCTACCCGAGGCTATTTAACAGTTAATTTTTTTATGTGCAAATATATATAAACAGAAGGAGTACAATTAACAATAAAAGTATAGAATAATAAATACATAAAGTAGTCATAGAGTCATTTATTATCAAGTATTATGTGCTGTACATAATTGTGTGTGCTAGACTTTTATAGGACTGGGAGCATAGTTTGTTTACATCATCACAAACATATGAGTAATGCCTTGTGCCACTATGTTATAATGGTGACAACTAGGCCATAGGAATTTTTCTGCTCTATAATAATCTTTTGGGACGGCCATTACATATGGATTCAGTCATTGACCAAAACATCATCATGTGGCACATGACTTGTATCACCAAAGACCAAAAACTAAAATAAATAAAATAAGAAGCACAGACAAGGAGTGATGAGGCCTGGGGTGGGGTTCTCTGAGGACAAGGAGCCCCATGCCTCTACCTATCATAGGCACTCAGGCCCTGATATTCCCAAACTACATAGGGACCTCTCTCATCCTCATGTCCTCCTGGGCAGGCAGGCCTCATTCTCTTCCAACTACCTGTGCCCTCTCTTTCTCCCCTCCCTTCATCTGGGTGAGACCTCCTCAGATGAAGACCACCCACCTTCCCAAAGTCCAGGCAGAACCTCCATGGCCCACCTCTGGTAACACTCACCTTCGGCTGAAGGCCAGATCCATGACTCTGCGCTGTTTGTGCCAACGCTCATAGTTGCATTCGGACACCAAGCCTTGGCCAAATAGTCTGCAGGAGATAAATACTTGATGCCAGAAAGTGGGTGAGGGAGGGGGAGCAGCCGGTTGATGGAGATGGACTCGTCTTTTGGGATGACAGAATGGTTCTGGAACTGATGGTGGTGGTAGTTGTACTACATTAAGAATGTCTGGATGCCACTGGATTGTACTTGCTAAAGGAGTTAATATGGTGAATGTTATGTTATGTCAGTTTTACCACAATAAAAAATTAACTAAATTAACAAGGTGATTGTGTTACCTGACCTAAGTAACCCTATATTCCCACCTGTCATCTAGAGGGGAAGGAGAAGGTAGGAAGTACTAACAACAAGAGCAGGGCTACCATTTTCAGGGTGCTGATTGCATGCCTAGCAACTAAGGCCTTGGGCTTTGACGCTACACCCACACTCTGGACCCCATAGGCCCTGGCCTCCCACTCAAGCATCCCATCTTGCCTCCTTACCTTTCACCAAACACTGTCTGGAGCGCACGGTACATCTTTGAGTCCTTGTTGTACTTGGTTGACATCAGGAACTTCTAAACATCCCCCACAAATAAAAAACCAACATGAGCTCATGCACTCACAAAGGACTCTTCTGAGACATGTCCAAGATAATCACCAACAGCTAAGGCCAGCTATGGTAGAAACACTTCACACACACAATCTCACCTCATCCTCAGCCATTCAATAGGAAGTTCTATGTTCAAGCAATATCAGCCTTGTGGGGGGAGGAAAGTCAGCAAGGGGTGGGGGTGGAAGTGATTTTCCTTGGGACATGTAGTTGGAGAGTGGTATGGGGTGATGCTCACTGCAGGGCCCACATTCAGGATCCCACACTGCGCCACCTTCCAAAGCAGCAAGATAGGAGAAGGCACATGCTGCTCTGAAGCCAGAGTGAGAAAGGGAGAAGCCCAGAGGAAGGGCTTCTGGGACATAGCAGAGACACTCAGCACAAATGCAGTATTGTTAGTATTAGCCTAGCCTCAACGGTTAAGGAAGACTTCCTGGAGCAAGGGCCAACTTACCTCACCAAGAGCTGGATGATAACAATGGTAACATTAGCCAATAGCCCTTGAGGTGGTATTGTCAAGTGGCCAACAGCTTGGGCTGTGAGGTCAGCTGCCTTCAATTTGGATCCAGGCTGAGCATCCCCACTCTACCACTTACTAACTCTAGGATGCTAGATGAGTTATGCACCTCCTCCGCCCCTCAGTTTCTCATCTTATAAGACAGGGATAAGAATAAGAAGAGTTCTTGGCTGGTAGGGTTGTTGTGACAGGTAAATCTGCTCCACATTGAAAGGGCTAAGAATAGTGGCAGGTGGTCAGTGAATGCCAGGTGCACAGCTGCATCCTGTAGTCACTCAGTGCCCCCCATCCCAAAGGCACTGCTGCTATTTTTATGCTCATTTTACAAACAAATGAAGAAACTAACATTTAAAACCTGCCTTATAGTCACACACAGAGTAAGGGGTGGGCACAGGATATGAATCCAGCAATTTACTGTGAGGAGAGGGGAGAGAAGGCTGGGATCTAGGCCACCATATGTGTAGGCAGGGGTGTGTGGAGTGGGGCAAGGCTGCACAGCAAGTGCAGAGCGCTGCCCTCTGGGACACTACTTTGTCCTGGGGGCACTAGGAAGCTGGAAGGGGATTTCTCTGCTATAAATTGACCAAAGTGCTGCCAGCTTCTCTGAATTCAGCTCCTGGGGGTCTAAGATAGATTTTTCAGCTGAAATGAAATCCCAAAAGTGGCTGACTTTGCATCCTGAGCCTTATTCTAGAGACCTAACCCCTACCCAAAATGCTATCATTTCTAATCCTGGCTGACTTTGTATCCTGAGCCTTATTCAAGAGACCTTAACCTCTACCCAAAATGCTATCACTTCTAAGTTCTGTCACCACCCTGCTCCCACCCGAGGAAGACCATGACAGCAAATGCCCACTTCCCAGTCCCTTCTCAAACACCCCTGTATCATCTGAGGTCTAAATCAGCCCTTCTTAAACTCAACTAAAGAACCCCCTACTACTGAGGCAGAGTAGTCTCACCATAGACTCTGACCGGATGTTCCCCACAGCCAGTGTCCCCCGATAGCTGTTGTCATGGAAGTGAGAGTCTTGTGATGGCCCAGAGAGTTGAACTTTGGCATGTGAGGGATGCATAAGGACTGACCAGAACCTTACCGATTTCCTGTGGCCCACACTGATAGCACACTGCTAGAGACTTTCCCTCCTAACATAAACAATGAGAAAACTGGGCAAAATATATGAAATGTCTATTTTCAGACACTGGACAACAGGCACTGCAGGATTATGAATCTCACAGAAGGAGGGAAAAATACTGTGAGACCCATGAATAGGGTTACCCAGCTTTATATTCAGAGGTAATTCCAGGACAACGGCACTAATACAAGAGACCAAATATAGTTCAGCAACCTTGCCAAGTTGAACAGACAGAGAGTCCAGGCAGGCTAAGGGAGGCTAGAATTTGTAAGGTAGAGTATCAGAGTCTATGCATAGAAAGAACTCCTATGCAAAAAATATGCATGAGGACCTTACATGTAGGGTGGAACTCCACAGTTTGAGCAAAAACAACTTCTGGGGAAATGAGAATTAGTGGGTAACTATAAGTTGAACAATTCTCAGAGCTTATATAGGGCCACAAATTATTCAAGTTGCCACTGGTAAGAACTGACAAAGCTCATACACAAGACCTTTAGTAGAAGCCCCAGAATGGTCACTCCTTAGTAGTGGGTGCTAAACTAGCTTTGGAGTAAAAATATACTCTTCTTGCTCTGAAGCTTTAAACCAAGCCTGAAACTGATCTGCAAGTAACTTTATCATCTGTCAGAATGAAGTCCAATACCCTATAAAAGAACAGAACAAAATCTAGCACTCAACAATGTAAAATTCACAATGTCTAGCATCCAATAAAAAAATCACTAGACATTCCAAAAAACAGGAAAATATGACGTATAAATAGGCCCAGAAATAACAGAGCAACAGAATTAGCAGACAGTAACTTTAAAACACCTGTTACAAATATATAAATATGTTCAAGGGATCCCACATAGCCAACAAAATGCAAAGAATCCCAAATAGAATTAACATGAAGAAAAGTATACCAAGGCAGATAATAATCAAATTGCTGAAACCAGTGATAATAAAGAGAAAATATTTAAAGTAGGCAAAAATGAATATTATTTAAAGATAGATTGCTATAAGTTAAAGGTGATATTTATAAACCCTAGGACAAACACTTAGAAGGAAAGGGAACTAATAAGATAATAGTGAAGGTAAACAGAGTACTAAAATGCACATAATCCAAAAGAAGGGAGGAAAGGAAAAGAGAAAATAACACATGGAACAAATGGAAAACAAATAGTAATATGGTAGATTTAACCTGACCATGTCAATAATTATATTAAGTGCAAATGACCTAAGCCCTCTAAAGGCAGAGAATATTACACTATATAAAATAGCAAGACTTAATTGTGTGCTACTTATTACATAAGAAACCTACTTTAAAAGCACAGATAGGTTAAAAGTAAAATGATAGAAAAAGATGTATCAGACAACACCAAGCATAAGAAAGCTGGAGGAGTTATACTAAAACAGACAAAATATATTTTAGGGTAAAGAATGTTATCAAGGACAGAGGATAAAAGGGTCAATTCATCATGAAGTCCTATCAATCCTAAATATGTACATACTTAATAACAGAACTTCAAAATGCATAATGCGAAACTGACAGAACTGGAAGTAGACATAGACAAATCTTTGATTATGGCTAGAAACTTCAACATTCCTTTTCCAGTCATTGCTAAAACAACTAGACAGCAAATTATTAATAGTAAAGATTTAGAAGATTTGATAACACTATTGACCAACTTGGCCTAGTGGACAATTCTAAAACATTCACATTCAACAATTACAAAATATATATTCTTTTTAAGTGTTCGTGAAACTCACTGAGATCTCAGGACTATATGCTGAACCATAAAAACAAGTTTCAATTAATTTTCTTGGACCTTAAAAATTAAATTAAAAATAAATAAAAGAAATATATCTGTAACAACACATAATATTTAGAAATTGAGTAAAATACATCCAAATAATCCATGGTTCAAAGAAGAAATCACAGGTGATTGGAAGGATCTCCTCTATGGTTTATCTTACAAGGGTACAAGTGAATTTTTCAAAAAGTAGAATATAAACGTCTGGACACAGTAACTAGGAAAATGACATGAAGGCTATGTTAACCAGTTTGATGAAAGTATTTCAAATTGTATGTGAAAACACCACACTGTACCCCATGATTGCATTAATATACACAGTTATCATTTAATAAAAAAAAAAAGAAAAGAAATCTACATTCAAAATAGTAAAAAACAAAGAATAAATCACAAGAGAAGTTGGAAAATATTTTGAAGTGAATGAAAATGAAAAATAACATCAAAGTTTGTGTGAAATGTGAGCTAAAGAAATGTTTAGAGGGAAACGTATAGTTTTAAATGCTTAAATCAGAAAAGAAGAAAGGTCTAAAATCAATTATATAAACTTTTATCCTAAGAAATTAGAACAAAAACAAATTAAACCCAAAGTGAATACAAGAAAGAAATAATAAATAGCAAAAACCAATAAAATAGGAAATGGACAAACAATGGAGAAAACCAACAAAGGTAAAAGCTGATTTTTTAAAAAGATGAATAAAATTTTAAACCTGTTGCTAGACTGATCAAGAAAATACTACAACAGAAAATTCAAATCACTTTTCTCAGAAATGAAAGAAGAATGACCATGGGTCCGACAGACATTCAAAAAATAATAAGTAAATATTATGAAAAACTTTATGCCAATAATTTAAACAATTTAAGTAAAATGTATAAATCCCTTGAAAGATATGAATTATCAGGAAAAAATAGATAATCTGAATATCATATATCAATTAAATAAATTGAGAAGGAAATCCTGATACATGTGATAACATGGGTGAACTTTGAAGAAATTATGCTAAGTGAAATAAGCTAGGCTCAAAAGGACAAATACTGTATGATTCTACCTATATAAAGTACTTAGAGTAGTCAAATTTGTGAAGACAGAAAGTAGAATGGGGGCTCCCAGTGGCTGGGGAAGGGGGAATATTGTTTGAAGTGTGCCAAGTTTCAGTTAGGGAAGATGAAAAAGTTCTGGACTGGACAGTGGTGATGGATGTCCACAAATGTGAATGTCTTTAATGCTGCTGATAGACCTAAAAATGGTTATAATGGTCAATTTTATATTATGTATATTTGACCACAATTTAAAGTTTTAAAAGCACAAATTTTTTTAAAAAAAAAGAAATTGAATGTGCAATTAAAAAAAAAAAACAAAACACAACTTTCCTTAAAGAAAAATCCAGTTCCACATAGCTTCACTGGCAAATTCTATCAAATATGGGAAAGGATAACTCCATTCCTATATAAAATTTACAGAAAATCAAAGAGGAGGTAACCTTTCCCAACTTGTCTTATGAGGCTAGTAGTAACCTGATACCAAAACCAGGCAAAGGCATTACAAGAAAAGAATAAATATAAAACAAAACCCCGTAGCGGCTCCGCGCCTATAGCTCAACCGGCTAAGGCGCCAGCCACGTACACCTAAGGTGGCGGG